TTCACACATAAACCAGTCCCTGAATAAGGCACTTGCAGAAAATCAGTCTCTGCTCTCACCTCTTGGTGGATTTTCAAGGGTGGCTGTTGAAGCCCAGGCTGGCTGCCAGCATACCATGTCCACCTGTAGCAGGTGCTATTATTATGGGTTGTTGTGAGAATTAAAGGAGAAAATTCACTTTGCACCTTTATCTCGTGACTTGGCATTAGTAACTGCCTGATCAGCTGTAGTTACAAATTTAAAAGCCTGTCGGTGAAGAAGACAGTGGTGAAGCCACTTCCCCTTGTGGGAACCCAGGGGCACACTAAGCCTGGATCCTGGACCCCAAAGTCTGAAGGGGTCAGCAGAGGAAGGGGGTGAGTTGCCCAGCCTCAAGGAATAGAACAAGCCAGGCTGCACACTTCCAGGTGCCCTTCAGCCCTCAGTAGCTGCCCAGAGACGATCTAGCCACTTAAAAAATCAGCCAGGAATCCCAGCTACTTGGGAGGCTGAGGCACAAGAATTGCTTGAACGCAGGACATGGAGGTTGCAGTGAGCCGAGTTTGCACCACTGCACTCCAGCCTGGGCAACAGAGTGAGACTCTGTCTCAAAAAAAAAAAAAAAAAAAAATTCAGCCAAAGCCCAATATAATTAGGAAGCAGAGCCTGGGACAGAAAAAAAGAAATGTGTGAGGGGTGACATTCCAAGGCCAAATTGGTAAAAGTTTGCGATTCTCTGTGAAAGAATGCAAAGTCCTCTTGTAATTATAATGATGGTAGTTTTTAGTCACCTTCAGCAGAGTTGATAATTGACTCGCTGCAGCTCTGCCTCATTTCTCTGTCATTGCTGGGGAATGAGGTGTTTTAAGTGAATTTTCTAGATAACTGAAGCTTATCCCTGTGAACCCTTAACATTGTTTTTTTGTTTAATCACTCTGGGGGGAAATTTCTCTAGAATGAATTATACACTTCTCTGCTTCCTTAATCAGAATATTCTAAACTGAATGTAACTTCTTCCTGTCAATTTGGATATGAGAGGCTATTTGCCCCTATATTAATGGCTCCAAGTTGCTTTGCTTTTTTTTCATCTATAAATATTTCCTGTTTCCATGGTTTCTTACTATGACACAGTGCTCTTGCTCACATATTTTTAGGAGCCCCACAAAACATGCAGACATTGGCCAGGCATGGTGGCTCATGCCTATAATCCCAGCACTTTGGGAGGCTGAGACAGGCAGATTACCTGAGGTCAGGAGTTCGAGACCAGCCTGGCCAACATGGTGAAACCCTGTCTCTACTAAAAGTATGAAAAATTAGCTGGGCATGGTGGCAGGTGCCTGTAATCCCAGCTACTCGGGAGGCTGAGACAGGAGAATTGCTTGAACCCAGGAAGCAGAGGCTGCAGTGAGCTGAGACTGTGCTACTGCCACCTCCCCCCCCCCCCCCCCCCGGCAACAAATGAACACCTCCAGCCTGGGCAACAAGAAAGTGAAAGCAGATGCTAGATCCCATACCATAAAGGATCCTCAAAAAAAAAAAAAAAAAAAAAAAAAAAAAAAAAAAAAATGCAGACACAAACATACACATGTGCATATACACACACACTCACATGCCAGTCTGTGTTGTGAGAAAGCAGAGTGCCAGGCTTAATAGAATTGTGTTTACATGTCCTTCTATAATGCCCTGAGCCACCCTTATTAGGGCACGTCCGTAGTGTACCATGAATGCTGCTCCAGCATTTCTCCCCCTGCTAGACTGTGCACCCCAACAGGGCAGGGTGCTTTCTGGCAGTAGCAGGTCCTTGGTAAATGTTTCTGAATGGACAAGCAGAAGAATGAAAACACCCAGGTGTTACCATGTGGACTTTATGACAACATTCTGGCTTCCTTATCAGAAGGCTAGTTTTGCTTCCTACTGGGGTTCGGCTGTGCCAGAAAGAACAGAGGTCATTTAATAAGCAAAGTGTAACTGTATGCTGTGAGATGCACCAAGAACAAACTGGCTTTTGGCTCCAACAGTTTCATACAGAACCAAGGTCTCAGGGCCGTAACTGCAGCCCCAACAAAGGAAGGGACTTCCTTGTGCTGGATCCTGGGGTGGTTCATAGTGATGAACAGAGAAGAAGTGGCTAGTCTCTGTGGTATCCCTGACCTGTGCTTTGTGGCTGCCACCTTGTCCTCAAGACCACCTCTAAATTTCACTCCCTGGACTCTTCCTCCAGAAAGTGTCCCAATGACCTGCAGTGGGGAGAGCTAGAACCAGGAGACCTGGACTTGCTCCTGCTGTAACCTCGGGCAATCACTTAACATCTCTGACCGTGTATTTCTCCATCTGTCAAATGGGAAAATAAGAAAACCTAACTTACATGGTTGTTGTGAGGATTAAATTTATTCATGTATATAGCACTTCTAGGATGCTGCCTGGCACACAGGGAGCTTTTAAAATGTGGTTGCCTGGCTGGGCGCGGTGGCTCATGCTTGTAATCCCAGCACTTTGGGAGACTGAGGCGGATGGATCACCTGAGGTCAAGAGTTTGAGACTGGCCCGGCCAACATGGTGCAACCCCGTCTCTACTAAAAATACAAAAATTAGCCGGGCATGGTGGCATGCGCCTGTAATCCCAGCTACTCGGGAGGCTAAGGCAGAATTGCTTGAACCCGGGAGACAGAGGTTGCAGTGAGCCGAGATCACACCACTGTACTCCACCCTGGGCAACAGAAAAATACTCTGTCTCAAAATAATAAGTAAGTAAAATGTGGTTGTAATTATTATAATACAGTCACAACATATGGACAATAAGCTATGTGAATTAAACTACATGTGCTTGGCAACTAAAAGAGAAACGGTACCATAGATGATTCTGCTGGTCCTCCTGCTCACTGAATGTGTGCCCCAGAGACAGGATAAGGTAGGAGGTGCTGGACTGCTAGATAGTCACTCTCTGTCCTGTGAACCTTTATTTATTAATTATTATTATTATTACTACTATTATTATTATTTTGAAACGGAGTCTTGCTCTGTTGCCCAGACTAGAATGCAGTGGCACAATCTCGGCTCACTGCAACATCTGCCTCCCAGGTTCAAGCAATTCTCCTGACTCAGCCTCCCAAGTAGCTGGGACTCCAGGCGCACACCGCTACGCCCGTCTAATTTTTTGTATTTTAGTAGAGATGGGGTTTTACTGTGTTGCCCAGGCTGGTCTCGAACTCTTGAGCTCAAGAGTTCCACCCACCTCAGCCTCCCAAAGTGCTAGGATTACAGGCATGAACCATGGCGTCCAGCCTTCTGTGAGCCTTTTTCAATGTGAGTGGAGGCTGTAGCTATAAATGGACTTAATTTTTGCTTTACTCACTAATAGCAGGTGGAAAATATAGGGTGAGACTCACTCATAATTTGGCAACTCAGTTTGTGTGTATGAATACTTGGGGCACAGATGAAGAAGGGATGAACCAAGATAGGGTAACGGGGGTTCCAGGCCTTGGTGGTTCTGTCTGCTAAAGGATAATGGGCAGGCTCCATGATATTGACCTCTTGACCTTGGTCAGCAGGTGGGAGGGACATGTGGGGGACTGGTGGGGCTGATCCTTCCACCAACCTTCAGCCCCCAAAGACCACACGTGCTCACTGACCACACTGGAACCTTGTACCCTTGTACGTGCCCAACGTTTGAATACCGCTGTATCTTTGCTTATATTGAGCCTACCCAAGTGACACCTTCCCAATCCCACTCACCTGGCCCCTTTCCTCTCTGAGTGTCTAAACCCTAGAAATCTGGAGCACAAACAGCAACAGATAATCTTGGTGACCGGCCATTCTAGTTTGCCCAGGACTGAGGAATTTCCCAGAATGTGGAACTTTCGGTGCTGAAAGCGATGGTTGCTCACCCTATTAGGCAGACAAGTGAGACATCCTTCACAGCCCACTTGAGATGACTTCTGTTTTAAGAAGTCTTGCCTGATCTCCTTAGCTGGAAGCAATCATTCTTTCTATCGAACTTCTCCCAGAACATTATGTGTGCCTGTCCATGCCTGAACTCCACACCCCAGTCTCACCCCAAACTTTGAGTGAATGAGGCTGTAACTGAGGACATCTTGTTATTGTGTGTCCCGTATGCATCAGGTGAGGGTCAGAGTGGGAGGTGGCAGCAGGCTGGGTGACCTCTCTGGGGCTCTGCTATTCAGCCCCTTTCCATAGCTGTAGAGTGTGAATTTCTGCAAAACTGGCTCAGCTATCACTCCCTGAAATATTTAATTACATGTAAAGATCTTGAAGGCTATCTGTTACTTCCCAGGGAAGCATTTCTTTTTCCTGCTCCTTCTGAAGCTGGCTGCTTGGAAAGTAATGAAATTGAACTGAAGCCGAAGCAACCAGCAGGCGTAGCCATTACTGAAAGGAAGAAGCATGAGGAAGAGATGAAAAGGGTGACAGGGAGATGGAGCCAAGGGAGGGGCAGGGAGTTACAGGAAATATTCCCAGAGAGTGAGTGAAATGCAAAAGGTGAGAAAACCAATGCGTGTGGAGAAGAGGGAGAAGGGGGCAGGAAAGATAGACAAATGGGAGCCGGACTGGGCTGGGTCCAGCAGGCCCCCAAGAAGAGAAGTAGGGTCACAGAGAAGAGGGGTGGCAGATGGGAAAAGAAAGGGCCGGGCAGAAAGGAACAGAGACAGGCAGCCAACCAAGAGCTTAGCAAAGACAGAGGGATGTAAACAGCTTGTGGCTCCAGAATTTCGATCAGGAGTGGGGGATTTAGGGCAGCCATTTGGTTGGAAGAGAATGGCCGGACCAGGAGATGGGTTCTGAAGCTGCCTTGAAGAAACAAACGCTCTGCCCTTCTTAGCCTGTGTAACTATTTGCGTGGCTTGGTGGAAGAACTGATGGAGGTTATGAGGCGCCAAAGCTTCCACCCAGGCACCCCTTGCTGCAGCCTGTACAGGGAGGAGCACTGCAAAGATGGGAAGGCCGCATGGGCATCGGTTCCTGGCCCCTGCCCCAAGGAGAGCTGACTGCCCCGTCTCTTGCAGGCTGCGACAGCGACCACTGGGGGCCCCACTGCAGCAACCCGTGCCAGTGCCAGAACGGCGCCCTGTGTAACCCCATCACAGGCGCCTGCGTGTGCGCCGCCGGCTTCCGTGGATGGCGCTGCGAGGAGCTCTGCGCGCCTGGCACCCACGGCAAGGGATGCCAGCTGCCGTGCCAGTGCCGACACGGTGCCAGCTGCGACCCCCGCACCGGCGAGTGCCTCTGCGCGCCTGGCTATACCGGCGTCTAGTGAGTCATGCGGCAGGGCCCGGACCGGGCGGGACCTGGAGGGGCGGGACTTGGAGGGTGCGTGGGTGGGGAGAGTGGAGGGGTGTGGAGGGGCTGGGGCGGGGCCTGGAGTGGCCGTCTTACCGCAGCTGCACACCCAGCCCTGGGCTCCTTGTGGGTGGGCTGGCTGGTGGGACCAGGAGGGTTGGGATAGTCCTGGCTGTGAAATCTCCTGTGAGTCTAAATGCCCAGGCCTCACCCACGCAGGTCTCAGATTCCTGCCTTCCAGGACCCCGTTGACTGGTCCTTCCTGAGACTGCCCGAGTGGGCGCTCCCTAAAATCCTCCCAGGAGGCCCTTCCTAGGAGAGACAGCCCTTATCTTGGAAGTCTCTTCTGACCTTACCCCATATGATGCTGCTCACCTGGGGCCTTCCCTTCTAGGGCATTTGGGAGAGGTGTGACACACATAGAGAGAGGTGAGGGTCCTGGGCAGATACCATGTACAGATTTGGGAGGATTACTCCGCTGTTCCTCTCCCCCACTTTCTCTCCCGAGACACCGAACAGCCACTCACTCCAGTTCCCCGCAGAATAGTATTGACAGGAGACCTACAAGACTGCTTAGCTGAGACCCCCTCAGAGGCAAGATTGAAGTTCTCCTCCCAACCCTGTAGCAGGCTCAGTGGCCTCTCCAACAGCCTAGATCCTGAAGGGTGGCCAAGGACTCTAACCACAGAGACGTTGTTGATTGAGGGTGTTCCCTACCCCGATGTCTGGTCAGCTCCCAAGTCCTAGTGAGCTAGAGGCCAGGGCCATTGGATGAAGGCCCAAGACCAAGACCCCATGCAAATCCTGCCCCACACTTCAACAGCGCCCAGTCCCTGCACATGAGCCTGTCATGGGAGCTGGGAGCCTTCCCGAGCCTGGAAGGAACGTGCTCCAGATTCTTCCCCTCTCTGAGTCTAGGCGGATTCTTGAAGACGGGATCCATGGGCACTTTTCAGTGCCTTCATTCATGGGATTACTTTGGCCTGGCATGCCCTTCCTTCCATTCTCCTGGTGAAATTGACTTCACCTTTAAGGCCCAAGTAAAATGTCTTCCTCCTCGGGAAGCCTTCCTCAGCCTCCTCCCCAGAACAGTCTTCTTTTACACTAAGAACACTTAAGTCCATCCCAAAAGTATTGGCCCAAGCACCCTACATTCCAATGTATTCAGTCTGAGCCCTGCTTCCCCCTCCTGGCCGGGAGCAGGACTGCAGCTCAGCTGATGCAGATCCATTGACTGTGAAGGAATTCCTATTGAACCCTGGAGCACTGGGGCCCTGCCACCTGATCTGAATGCTGCTGTGTCTAACACCTCTGCTTCTCCATGCAGCTGCGAGGAGCTGTGCCCTCCTGGGAGCCATGGAGCTCACTGTGAGCTGCGCTGCCCCTGCCAGAATGGGGGCATCTGCCACCACATCACTGGCGAGTGTGCCTGCCCCCCAGGCTGGACGGTAGGTGGGCCCAAAGGATCTGGGTGGGGCACTGTAAGACGACTGAGCATTCCTCACTCACACACATCTTAAAAGGCTAAATTGGCTGGGTGTGGTGCTCACGCCTGTAATCCCAGCACTTTGGGAGGCCAAGGCCTGCAGATCACTTGAGGTCAGGAGTTCGAGACCAGCCTGGCCAACATGGCAAAACCCAGTCTCTACTAAAAATACAAAAATTTGTGAGGCATTGTGTCATACATCTGTAATCCCAGCTACTTGGGAGGCTGAGGCACAAGAATAACTTGAACCCAGGAGGCAGAGGTTGCAGCCAAAATTAAGTTACTGCACTCCAGCATGGGTGACAGAGTGAGACTCTGTCTCAAAAAAAAAAAAAAAAAGTTATTCTCCCACTGTGAATACCCTCCCTCCTATTTAGTGATCCCTAGGGCATCACTAAATGCTGCCAGTGGTGCCGTGGACACAGCTTTGAATCCCAGGTCTGCCATCTCTAAGTGCTGTGTGGCCTCAAGCAAGTTACTCACCTCTTTGAGCCTGTGGTCTCTCCTGTCCAAAGAAATTGAATTCTTGTAAGATTAGCTCTGTCTTTGGGTATAAGCACCCACATGAGCAGCCATGGGCCCTGGGCCAGAGGTGGCAGAAAAGGCTGGGAAAAGAGGAGAAACAGCAGGTATGGATGACCTGAATTTATCTAACTTCGCCCCCTGCACTTGCACACACACACATTCTGATTCTGTGGGCCCCAGAATCTGTATTTTAACAGGTACTGCAGGTGATTCTGATGTAGCCTCAAGCAGCCCAGGTCTCATGTCTGGGAAAAACCATTGTGGGAAAGGAGGATAAGATTTGTAACCTCATGGGCCTAAATTCAGGTCTCACAGCCAATGTTGACCCTGAAAAAAGCCTCAATTACTCTGCTTCCCCAAGTACAAAACTGATATAACAACAGTGAGCCCTGCCCTACCCAGCTGCCATGGTTGGTGGCTGGCTCATGTGAGGCTATGCATGTCTAAAGTCCTTTGCAAACTCTGAAGCCCTCTACGATGGCTTGATTTCTATCCCTGGGTGCCATAAACCCTCCACAAGCCTCCTTTTAGCCAACACACCCTGCCTGCCAGTGCCTGCCCCACAGACCAAGCCCTTAGAGGCAGTGAGTCAGCTGAAGCTGACCTTCCTGGGCTGCGTCCCTGCCTCTGACTCTCCAGTAACATGCTCTGTTTCAGGGGAAGCTCAGCGACACAGTCCGCCACCTCCCCTGGGGCCTGAGGCTTTGCAAAGCCAGAGAGGACAGGGCTGCTGAGCAGAAGCAGGATATTTTAGGAGGCTGTGAATGCAGAGGTCACAGGGACAGATGGGAGGACACCTGCAGGACCCATCGATGCAGGCACAGTCTTGTCAGAATTTTTTTAGGGCAGGAAAAGGACCTTGGGGACCACTTGGTCCCACAGCATCCAAACCTGACTGCACACCAGAGCTGACAAGCAGGTGGCGGGGAGTTAAAATACAGATTCCCAGGCTGCGTCTGTGACCTCCTGGGACTGGGGGATCTCTATTTTTAATAAGCTCCCCAGATGGTTCTGAGGCAGCCAGTCCTGTCTGCAGGTCTGCATTTGGAAAGAATTGATCCAGACCATAGGACTTCCTTCTGTGTTTCACAAAACCCTATGGTTTCTTGTGGGAGAACTGGGGCAGGAGCCTAATCATTAGGAATCTGGTGCCCACCCCACCCCCACCTCTCCATTTTAATCTAGTTTCTATAGTGAGGTGCTCTAGGTAAGATTTCACATATAAACAGGGTTTCCCAGCTTTAAGAGATTTGGATCCCACTGGTCTGTCAATACCTTCCTTTCTCAGATGAAGAAGCTGAGGCTCAGAGGGGGTAAGGGACCTGTTCAAGACCACACTGGTGGTTAGGAGTGAGGTGGAGCTAGAATCCAGGTCTCCTGACTCCCAGCCCTTAGTGTCTGTCTGTCCATCTGTCTGTCTCCTCTGAGGAAGAAAAAGGGACTGCTACCACCTCTCCCATACCTGCCCATTTCTTCCACCCTGAACCAGTCTCTGGAAAGACCCTCTCATCTCCAACCAGCTTCCAGAAATCCACCCAGCAAGCGGGGTCCTCAGAGGCCCAGCTGCATCAGAGAGGTTGGATCAGGAAGTGGTGGGCAGAACAAGCGCACAGCATCCCTTTGCCTGTAAAGGCCTCTCTGGAGACACTGCTGAGGCTCGGGTAGTTGAAGAGGGGAAGGTGAGAAGCAAACACACAGGGGGATTGTATTTCTCCCCAGCACAGCGAGAGGTTTGTTCTTCCAGATGACAGGAAACTCTGTTGACAGAAGCCTTTGGATTGAGGACTTTATGTTTTTAATTTTACTGTAGACAATTGCATTTCTATTTTTGACATAGCATTTAACTTGCAGATTTGTATGAATTATTAATACCCCTTGTGCATGCAGAGTCACCGTATAATGAAGTTGCACTCACACCTGAGGCTCCTCCCAGGGACAGCCGGGACCAAGGAATGGATACTGGGGAGAAGGCTCCCCACTTTAGCATCTTCCATTGCCTGACTTCCCAATGGCCCTATGTGACTTCAACCACACATTTTCCAACTCAGGGATATACAGATTGCTGATTCACACCATGCACCTCCCCAAAGACCCGGGCCATTGTGTGGAACTGGAGAGAGGAGCTGCCAGGCCAGGAACTCTGGCTCTCCAGGCCCCTCCTTAGAGATTCCTGGCCACCAGGCCCTAAGCGTGCCCACAGGATAGTCTGCTAGCCCAGCATGTGAAGCCTGTTTCAGGCAGGGTCTTTGCAAAGAGCCTGGGGAATTGTTTCCCCTCTTTTTCCGGGCTCTGAGACCTTTCAAAGCAGAGAAATCGGTCTGAGTAGTTTGATGTGAGTGGGAACTAGAGACAGAGAGGGAGAAGGAAATAGGATTGACATCCCCCACCCTTCTTATGTTGGGGACTGGATACAGTGTGTGTGTGTGCCTACATGCATGCATACACACACACACACACACACACACACACACACACACACAAAGAAAAGAGACTGGAGGAGAGGAGGCTGAGGAGCTGGGAAACAGGACCAGTTATCCTGGAGGGCCAAAGAGAGGTTTTGCATGGTGAAATCCTATCTCTACTAAAAATACAAAAAATCAGCCAGACATGGTGGTGGGCACCTGTAATCCCAGCTATTCAGAGGCTGAGGCAGGAGAATCGCTTGAAACCAGGAGGTAGAGGTTGTAGTGAGCCAAGATTGCGCCATTACACTCCAGCCTGAGAGCAAGACCCCATCTCAAAAAAAAAAAAAGAGAGGGGTTTTGGGGCTGAGGCCTAGTATTACAGATGCTTAGGTTTGAGAAAAAAGATTCATGGAGCCCCACTTCCTGGCCTGTGGCCTGGATCACCTTCACAGCACTCACACCAACCACAGCTCACTGTCCATTGAGGGTGTCCATGCCACCCTGGAGCATCACTGATCATTAGAAATGCCTTCAGATGCTTGGTGAGGCTGAGTTGCCTCCCCTCCAGGAGAGCTGGCATGGCCTTAAGTCCTTTCACCATCTTGGCCCCTTCTCTTCTTATGTTCTACTTAGCCAAGATCCTTTTTTTTTTTTTTTTTTTTTTTTTTTTTTTTTTTGAGACAGAGTCTCCATCTGTCGCCCAGGCTGGAGTGCAGTGGCGCAATCTTGGCTCACTGCAAGCTCTGCCTCCCGGGTTCACGCCATTCTCCTGCCTCAGCCTCCCAACTAGCTGGGACTACAGGCACCCACCACGCCTGGCTAATTTTTTGTATTTTTAGTAGAGACGGAGTTTCACCATGTTAGCCAGAATAGTCTCCATCTCCTGACCTCGTGATGTGCCTTCCTCAGCCTCCCAAAGTGCTGGGATTACAGGCATGAGCCCCCACGCTGGGCCACCAAGACCCTCTTAAAGTGTGACTGTTTTCCAGATTTTAACAAAGCCATTTGGTCTAACCAGTTCTGAGAGGAGCAGAAAATATCACCTTACCCCATGTCCAACCTTCTAGAAGCCACAGCAGTCCAAGATCCCACTACAATTGGAGATACACACTCAACTGACCACACGGCAAGTACATGAATCTGCTGAGGCTGCCATAACAAAGTGCCACAGACTAGGCGGCTTGAACAACAGAGACTGATTCTCACAGTTCCAGAGGCTAGAAGTCCAAGATCAAGGTGTCGGCAGGGTTGGTTCCTTCTGAGCCTCTTTCCTTGGCTTGTAGTTGGCCATCTTCTCCCTATGTCTCTGTGTCGTCTTTATTCTGGGTCTGTCTTAATCTCCTCTTCTTGTAAGGACATGAGTCATGTTGGATGAGGGCCCACCCAGATGACCTCATCTTAACTTGATTACCTATGTAAAGGTCCTGTTTCCAAATACAGTCACATTCTGAGGTACTGGAGGTTAAAACTTCAGCATAGGAATGTTGGCCGGGCACAGTGGCTCATGCCTGTAATCCCAGCACTTTGGGAGGCTGAGGCAGGTGGATCACCTGAGATCAGGAGTTCAAGACCAGCCTGGCCAACATGACAAAACCCAGTCTCTACTAAAAATACAAAAATTAGCTGGGCGTAGTGGCGCATTCTTGTAATCCCAGCTACTTAGGAGGCCAAGGCAAGAGAATCGCTTGAACCCAGGAGGCGGAGGTTGCAGTGAGCTGAGTTCATGTCATTGCACTCCAGACTGGGCAACAGAGTAAGACTCCATTTCAAAAAACAAACAAAAAAGAGGAATATTGAAGGGGTACACTTCAGCTCATAGCAGCAGGAGAGAAACCACAGGCTGTAGCCCTCTCCTAAGCTGACTTCTCTGGCTGCTCTCTCCCCCTGCCTCTCCCCAAAAGGCTATTCTTCTAGCCAGCAGTGGGTGATGACTCCTATGGTTCTCTTCCAACTCTTCTCAGTCTCAGGTTATGTGGGGCTCCCACCATGTGCCACCTCATCAGGTGTCAACTTGGTTCAATTACTATTAATT